TCCTAAAAATTTGCCTCCTATTTTCAAGATAATGGAAATTGTAAAATCCAAAAATTCTTTATCTTTAATTGACTTCAAAAACTTTGATTTTTTGGTATTACTTAGGTTTCCTAAATATATGGGATTTACTTACCCAAACCCTATATTCAACAATTACTCCCCATTGAAAATTAATTTCCTTCACTTTTTCAAAGTTGAAACTTGGAATCATGTTGGGGAGGGGGGAGGGGGTTGGGAAGAGGGACGGAGGGTGGGAGGAGGGGAGAGAGGTTGTCTATTAGATGGACTTAATAATTACCCAATAAAATGAGGTGATTTGTATAGGACAAGGATAATAGTTTTGCTTTGCTTTAAGATAAATATATATTTTATTTATGGAACGTATATTTTTAGAAGTTTTGGAGTTGATTGAAATTTTTTATGGTTTCAATTTTTTTTCTTAAACAGCCATAGCTTTGAAACCTTTTAAATCTTGGATTCATCATGTGTACCTCCTCGGGTTCACCAAAAACCTATGGACCTCCAAACTTTTAACAATAATACACTAAACCCCTTCCTTCACATTTCACTATCCAAATTACTTCTTTAACGATATTCTTTACGATCTTTAACCTACGTCCCAAAGTTATTATTCGGGATGAAGCACTAATGACAACTTAATATGCAATTGAGGACTGAAACATTACACGATAGAATGTCATGTTCATTGCCATTTGGGGGGCAAAATTTTGATATTGGGTAGGAATTTTAGACAATATTGCCAGTAGTCCCATGTAGGATAATATTGGAATTTGTTGTTGTAGCTTTGACTTAATCACATACATATTTAGCCTAAAGTTATCTTATTGAGGTTGGAGGAGAATATACCAGCACTTGTGGATAGTGATTTTGCAATATTTGGGGATGGTAATAATCACCATATAAGAATCCCAAATAACATATTTGTATAAATTTTAAGGAATGTTGATGCTAAACTTTTTTTTATCACAAAAATATTCCATTCAACATTTTAGAATGTTGCATCCCTCAATGACATTTGCAATAGAGCAATTTTGTCCACAAGAAATGAATCGGTTGATGAAATAAATTATCGAGTCATTCAACTTTTCCTTAGAGATGAATTTTCTTACTACAAGCTTTGATATCGTCCCTAATGATACACGCAATTTGTATCTAGAATTATTCTTGAATGGACTGACATCAAGTGGTTTCCCACCTTATAAAATTACATTCAAAGTCGAATCGGAGCTCCAGTTATATTACTTCGCAACTTGAATCCTAAATAAGGTATGTGCATGGAACAAAAATGATATACAAAGAATTCACAAGGAATATAATTTAGGCAGAAGCAATAGGTAGAAATCATCATGGGAAGATTGTTTTCATACCAATAATACCTTTACTGCATTCAAAAGATGCAAATATATAATTTAAAGTGAACAATTCCCAATAAATTTCACATTTGCAATGACAATTAACAAGTTACATAAAAGATAATAGTCTATGGGAAGTATTCATGTGAAAAATGCAACAAACAACCCCCTCATTTCATTGTTGAGAGGTAATTTACATAAAAGAATTATCTGATTATTAATATTTTTTGTATATTGTGTAAAATAACAGACTAATTATTTTAAATTTTATTTTGATTAGATACTTTTTCAAGATTGATGATTTATATAACTCCCACACAATTCAATTTCTTGTCTTTGATGATAAAAAATATAAAATTAAGCTACGTAGTTGCAAGTATTTTTTAAAAATTTAAAGTTAATATACGACATTCGATTTTCTTGTTTTTATTTCAGGTACCAAACAACAAGATCACAGAAGATGCATTGAAGAATTTAGGCAACAAAGACAACAGTTTTGGAATTAAGGCTTCAATTAATAACTTATATTCATCTTTGAACTTAGTTTTTGCAATCTTTGCAAGAACCATCCCATATTATTTTGGGGAAGCTAAACTAAGACGATTAGCATACCTTTTTATTTACATTTTTTGTTGCGATACTAAAAAATGTTACTTTCTTTGGAATGGTGGTGAATTTATTTCGTTATAATTCTAATCCAACTCCTTTCTATCTCATTGTAATCAATTATAACTATTTAAAATGTAGTCAAAGTTTATTTAAGTTTGAACATATTTATCTATAATTATTATCAAATAGAAGCCCATATGTAGATTCGGATTCATCAAATTCGCTCCCTCTCTCTCTCAATAATCGAATGATACCTCTTTGAAAATGTTGTTTCACTAATGAAAGTGTATCCAAATATAACTAACAAGTCATGCGTAACACTAGTGACATTAATGTAACACTACCACCACTATCACTGCTACAATTTTAATAAACAAAATGTAATTTTACTTAAAATTAGGTTTAAAAAATAGAAAAGTATACAAGGAGACTTTTTACTTTTACTACAAGGAGATCACAATTAATCTTGTCTTTTAGATTTCAAATTGGGTGGTTGAAAGAATATTCCTGAGTAGTCTCAGAGTTTAAAAAAAATCTCAAACTTAATGATACATCTTAAGCCATCCAATTTAACATCAAATAGAAAAAAATAATTGTGACATCCTTGTAACAAAGATAAATACTCTCATAGTTTATAATCCCTTAAAAAATAGCGTACATAAATCATGAACACAAATAGTCCCATAGTATGTAATCCCTTAAAAAACATCACACATAAGTCATGAAAACAATGGAGATGCTCTGAATTGAAAACACCTCAACATCCCAAATTTTCAATTTTAAAAAAAATAACTTTATGCTAACTATAGCTTGGCCTTTTTTATACACGAAGGTCACAATCATTTTTAGCCATTGGATACGAAATCCAATAAATGAAAGTGTGTCGCAACAAATTTTATTTAGGATATTGCGCTCAAACAATGACACATCCTCAACCACCCAATTTTAAATCCAACGGCGAATGATGATTCTAATTTCCTTGTATCAAAAGTAAATGGTCTCATTATATACATTTTCTATTTTTATAGCATTGGATTGAAACTTAATATGAACTTTTCCTTGACTAAATTGCTTGATTGCAATTTGAAAAAAATAAATGGACAAGGTTTCTATAAGGCCTAGGCTTTCTAAAAAAAAAAATACAGCCTCACCTCAAATCCTCATTCGAAAAGCACTTTTGGCAACAAAAATCTCCATGATAGCTCTAAAATCAATTTTCAATACCGACAATGAAATTCAAAACTAAAAACTAAGACATATCTTGCGGATTTATGAACATTTATTTTTAAGGCAAAATAGACATTCCAGATAATTTGTTACAATATACATTATTTTTAGAGCTTGAAAATTTTTTATTTTTATTTTTCACAACATTAATGTTTTAGCCAAGATAATCGATGTAAAAAATTGTTAATGCATGAATTACAATATTCGATGAGTTATAAGGCGAACCTTTACTTATTTTGATAGGGCTGTAGCCCTATCAAACCATTTTCCAAAATAAATTCGACGAAATTTGAAATCAAAGAGCACAAAGTAGGTCCAAGGTTTTTCGGCATTATTCAAAGCTACCAAAATATATATCTCAATCATATTTGCAAATGGCGGCAAGAGAAGATGAGTTGGTGACGATACAGGGTGGGTTAGCTTGGCGTGTGGAGATGAGGTTCCTTAACGTGTGGCCACCACACTCTCCCTCTCTCCTCTCTCCAACCTTTTTTTTTCTTAAAGATATTTTCTCCTCTTAAATTTAATCATATAATCGAAAAATAATTTAATTATTAAAATAGTCCAATATTCTTCAATATAAAAAATTATTTAATTATTTAAATTTTAAAATAATCCAATATACTTCAATATAAAAAATAATTTAATTATTAAGATATAAAAATAGTCTAGTTAATTTATATAGGTTGTTGCTTTTATAAGTGCTACGCTTCATAAAAAAAAAAAAATGTCAACTCAAAACTTCGAATGAAAATATCGGTCATGAGTTGCTGGCTCTAAAAATAGTACATATCTTAAATATTTTAAAATGGATAATCTGGATAATGTGGTACAATACACATTATTTTTAGAGTTTGAAATCTTTATTTTCTCTCGCATCCATAATGTTTAAAGTCAAGATGAATGATTTGAGGGTTTTTTGATGTGAGAACTGCAGATTTGAATTGTAACTTTACTCTCTTTTTTCGTATGTATGTCTTATTTTAACTTTTTTCTGTTTCATATTAAGTTATGGTTTTTGAGAGTTTGTATTGTATTTTATTTATTTTATTTTCTCTATGTGCATCACATTTTGCTCAATTTTGGAGAGTTGATATTTATCACAGTCTCACATTTTTAAAAAATATACAAATATTTAAAAATGAATACAATACCAAAAATATATCTAAAAGGTTAAAATATGTAAGATGTATTTTATTCCTCTTTATTTAACTTTATTATATTTTTTAATACTTTTACAAGTACATTACGACAAGATTTATGAATACCCTAATTTGAGCTCGATTAAATATAAAAAAAATAAAATTAAAAATATATCACAAGTCTTAAAGCATAAAATATAAAATATATGAAGGACCCGGTTTCTATGTGGCCAAGCCCGCATGTGTAGAAATGTGTATTAATAAATGTATTTTTGAGATGGATTTTGAACTTAATTTTAAAGACATGTAATATCTAATATAGAAATCATGCATATGAAAAAATAAGTAAATTTTAAAAACTAACAATAATAATTCTAGTAATAAAACATTTGAATAGTTAGTTTCCATTGTTTTTGGATAAAACACCAACTTGCATCCATTTTTTAGATGGAAGGTTTACACATTTGTAGTTATGCGGTCCATCCTGCATGAGACAATTTTCCATATATAAAAGCTGTTTTTTAACTTTTAAAATAAAAATAAAATTTTCTGGTAATATTCCATTCTTGAAATATCTCAGTCCCTCTGTTAAAGTACTATAATGTAAATTATTTATTTAAAATACTAAAATTACTCACTCTCTCTCTAAATCCCTTCTCTCTCTCTCTCCAAAAGATATTTTTTTGGCCTGAATCTTACCTATATATTATTGTCACTCCTCTATTGTTGGAGGACTAAAGTAAGTTACTGTTATTCTTCGTAGCAGTTTAAATTGCGTTTTTAGTTTCATCTTAAGCTTGGTGGCCATGCCTGCGTATGCTGAGCTCCACCTTCTTTCTCCTCGGAGCTTAAACTGTCTCAGCTTTAAAGATCAGAGTAGAACTGAATTGTTATGCTTTCAAAGAGGAAAGAATCAGGTGTTTTTGAGGAGCAATTCTTTGTTTTCTGGGGGAATTTCTGTGCTCAAGCGATCGAGTTTCAGGTAACGTTGTTCTTACAGGGCTTGTAGTGGTAGAAGTTGGTGAATACAGTCATGTTTTTTGGTGAACTCTTTCATTGTGATTCGTTTAGGGGTTGGAACCGCATAATTTGGAATTTTGGAGATTCTTGTCGTATTTTACGTTGAGTTATTTGATTGTATTGGAATAGTGGAATTTGGAGATTTAATTTGCGTTTTTCAATGGACTATTTGCCGGTGATTCTTTTAGAGCTTGGAATCCTGGAGTTTGGATAATGTAGTACGTTTTTTGATAAAATATTTGATTGTGATTCTTTTGGGACTTGCAATTGTGGATTTGGAGAATGCAGTCACATTTTTCGATGAATTCTTTGGTTGTGATTGTTTTAGGGCTTGGAATGGTGGTTTTTGGAGAAGTCAGTTGCATTTTTCTGTGAATTATTTGATTGTGATTCTTTTAGGGCTTTGAATGGTGGACTTGGAGGACTCATTTGCATTGTTCAATATAGTCTTTGATTTTTCTGAGGGAGTTCTTGGGTGAAAGCAGTTGAACTTCAGTCGGCATTTGTGTTTGATAGTCGAGGGAATTTGAAAGGATGAGTTGGCTTTTTCTTTTCTTTTAGAAAAGTTATGAGCTTTGGAATTTTTCTATTGAAAACAACGACTGGCTGTGTTGATTTCCTCTACATAAGTATGGTTAGCTGGTTATTCTTGTTGTTGTAATAGCTAGAGTTAAAAAGAAAACAAAAGGTCAAATGCTTCCTGGGAGAACTTTGTCGAATTTTTTATTGAGTCATTTGTTTGGGATAATGATATGAAAATGCAGATATCAGTTTTCTCTGAAAGTTTGTGGATCTCTTAAGACCGATAATGGAGGGGACACCACCAAGGAGCATATCAGTATCATGGAAGTCTCAGGGCCCCCTAAAGATATCAATTCTGGCTATGAAGGTAGAGATTTTACATGGTTTGGATTGGCTTATAACAAGACAATATATTCTCATTGTGCTTGTAAACTTAGTTAGAACTATTGTTTCTGGGTTATAAGTTGCGAGATGTGTTAGTGGAGCAACATTTGTGAGTTCCAATTTTACCTGAAAATTTACTTGGAATTCATTGTTTATGCACATTTATCTGAAATTCATTGGTATTTCATGATAAGTTATTATTATTGTTTTTATCATTGTAATATTTCAGAGCATATGTTCATTTTGTGGGGTTGATATTGTGATAGTTTGAATCCTTTACTTATTAATTACAAAGTCTAATATTTCAAGCTTGCTACATAACTAAGAAAGGAACTCACTTATTATAGGTGCACTTTATTCAGGTAAGAGATCAATGGGAAGAGGAGAGCTTAGAAAGGCACTGCTTGAAGTCAAAAAGGGTTTTTTTTTGGTAGGTTGTGTTTGATACCTTTCTATGTTTTTCATGATTGCTAGCTTAGGTCTATTGTTGAATTGCCCTCACCTAACCAATGAAAATGGAAAAATGTCCTCCTCCTGTAAAGTCAGAACTGCCAATCACCCAACTAAACATTAATTGATTGTTCACACCAAAACTGTGGGTAATAATTTTGGATAACCATTATACTTACCAATTCCTCCTTTCATGTCTAATCACTTGCTAGATAACATGAGTTCGTTTTAGTTTTATAGACTTTTCATCTGCCAACCAAAGCCCATGCAGAAGCACATGCTAATCCATTTCAGTATATGATCATCCTCAACAGTGTGGACTTGTGTCTAATGATGATGATCTGTATTAGACTTGCTAATATCTTTCTTTATCTTCTGTTGTGCAGTTTAGCATCCATCTTGGTAGATATCTCCTCACCATGATGTGTACGGGTGTGATACTTTCAATTGGATTTCAGTTTTCAGGTTTGTAAGTCTCTATTTTCTTTGTATCAATAATGCTGTGCTCCATTGTTTTCCAAGTTCTTGACATTTTATGCCTTTTTCCTATGCATTATGCAAAAGGTGGCAACAGTCAGATGGATGCCTTGATTTGGTATAGCTGGCTTGGAGGAGTCTTCATCGGGACAATGATAGGAGCAAATATGGTTTTGGAGGAGTACTGCAAGGCTGGTCCAAGGAATGTTGTCATCACTGGAAGGTACAGGACGTGTGATGTTTGAACGATGCCATATGAATTTATGTTATAATACTTGGATTCAAGAATTTATATTTAGTACTGTGGACTTAATATGGTGTTCTTTGCTGCATTCCTGCATGATACTAATACATTTGTTGCTTCATGTGTATAATCAGTAATGAGGTCATTTAATAGGATGCTATTTTATCAACCTCCCCCCTACCACCACACCCCCCCTGGCCCCCCCAAACCCACACCCAAAAAAAAGGGATATGATTCTTTAATTTGAGGATAATATGTCGTCTGTGATTTCTAATAGTTATTAATATCCCTTTCTGTATTTGGCATTTTCTATCTTGAAACAAATTTATCTCTTGTTGATTCTATGAGGTATGATGACTTATTTTATTACAACTCAAATTGGCTCTATACATGCATAAGTTTTTGCCATACAATGTAAACCATCATCACACACATCAGCACATACTTCTATAACTAGTTCTAGTTGAATTGGCTCTCTATATGCATAGGTTTTTGCTATACAATGTAAACCATCATCACACACATCAGCACATACTTCTATAACTAGTTCTAGTTGAATTGGCTCTCTATATGCATAGGTTTTTGCCATACAATGTAAACCATCATCACATACTTCTATAACTAATTCTAGTTGCTTAGGTAACAGTAGCTAGTAGAGACAACTCCTGCACTAACTTTTTAACGTATGAAAGTTTGATTTGTTATTTATTGCACATTTTTGTGACAGCACAAGGGGACTTGGAAAAGCACTTGCTCGGGAATTTCTTCTCTCTGGGGACCATGTTGTTGTCGCCTCTCGTAGGTCAGAATCACAGCTTATAATATTTCCTTCTGTCCTTATCCTAACCCTTTGTTTTTCTTCTTCATACTGACTTTAACTGCGGACTTGTATGCTTCGCATGATGAATTTAAAAATTTGGGAGTTTTGCTCTCCACTCTTCTGATTTGACATGTACTTGTGTATGGGTCAGCCCTGACTCGGTAGCTTCAACTGTGGAAGAGCTCCAGCAAAACTTACAGGAAGGATTGTGTTCTGCAGAAAGTGTCTCATCTAAGAGTAACTTAAATAGAGCAAAAGTGGTAGGAACAGTATGTGATGTTTGTAAAGCTGATGATGTAAAGAAGTTGGCTGATTTTGCTGTTAATGAGTTTGGTTCTATAGATATTTGGGTAAGTATTTCTGATTGCTTTTTGTATTAATCAGTGTTAAAAAACCTGGATCAACCTAGTGAACCAGCCGGTTACTGGGCAACAATTGCCAATCCAGATTGATGATTTTCCTGGCTGATAGGGAGAAGATTTAAAATATTATGTTTATATTTAAAACAATTTAAAATATTTAAAAATTAAATTATGTGGGAACTGGATGATTCTGCCGATCCAGATTGCCCAATTCCCTGACATACTTGCCCAGTTCGTTCACTTCATCAGGTGAGTCCCTCTAAATCTGACTGATTCCCAGTTCCCATAAGGAACATGGTCGGTATCCCGCTGATTCCTATCCAGGTTGGAGATTCTCTATCTGGATCGGCAACTTTTATCCTTGCAGTTCTGATTGTTAATCATAGTTTTCCTATATCTAGTTCCCGACCTTTTCCATTTGACACATTCCCTCATGGTATCTAATGTGGCAGATTAACAATGCTGGTACAAATAAAGGTTTTAGACCATTATTGCAGTTTACAGACGAGGATATTAATCAGGTCTGTTCGTTTTCATGCCAACTATTGGTTTAAGTTGCTGCATTTGATGTATTGGTTATGTTATATAAATAATATATATTCATGCACAAGAAGCTTACTAGATGAGTGGAATGAGGAGTTTTGGAATCAGAAAAAGTCCTCTACAATGAAGCACAGGGTCTTTTTAAAATTTCAAGAAACGTCCTATCATGCTGTATAATAAACAGGTTACGCTGCTTAAGATATATAACCTTGTTTTTTTTCTCTTTTACTTAATGGACAGAAAGCACTTGATATGGATGTGATCTTTCCTTTTTCTTTTTCTCCTTTTTTTTTTGGCTAAACAAGATAACTACTGAAAAAAGGAGATCAAAGTTATATTGTTACCTTTCGAGCTTGGTTTCCTTCAACAAAAGATAGGGGAATGGTCCATCTTTTGTGAGTGTCACTGATCCATGCAATAAAGGGAGGCATACTCTCACTTCCATAATTCCTCAGTTCATGCTTGTACATTTGTTTGGCCAGCATCATGCTTACTGTAAAAATAGGCAGAGGAAGCTGTATTATTCAATGGACATTTAAAAACATATCTATTTTACTAGTGTCTTTTAGGTAGAAACTAATTCATTTAAGTAGAAGAAATTTCTCTCTCTCTCTCTCTCTCTCTCTCTCTCTCTCTCTCTCACACACACACACACACACACACAGAGGAATTTATCGTTCGAAGTTATTTTTATCTATTACCTAAAGATTAATTAGTGATCACATCAAACAGATCGTCTCGACAAATCTGATTGGTTCTTTGATCTGCACGCGTGAAGCCATGCATGTAATGCAATCCCAGGGTAAGGGGGGGCACATATTTAACATGGATGGCGCTGGTTCAGGGGGATCAAGCACCCCTTTGACTGCTGTGTGAGTAGTTTTACATTCTTATTATAGTATATCTTTTTCCCTTTCGTTCTTTCTTGATGTTCTATAATAAATCTCATTCTTATTCAAGCTTGTGTTTTTTCTTCATATTTCCATGTTTCAAGATTGTTCTTGCAGTGTTTTTCTGACCTTTTGGTCTTCAGGTATGGTTCGACAAAGTGCGGACTTAGGCAACTCCAGGCATCTCTTCTCAAGGAGAGCAAGCGGTCAAAAGTTGGAGTACACACAGCATCTCCCGGCATGGTTCTAACAGATTTGCTTTTGAGGTAATCGACTAGGAACCTCATAAGCTGAATTTCTCCTTGCTTTCTAGCTCTTGATATTGTAAACCAGTTGATAATTCTGGAATAGATAAAATTAAAAACATGTGTGTGTGCAAAATTTCAAAGTTATGCTCTTGTATGTGATCTCTCTCTCTCTCTCTCTCTCTCTCTCTCTATATATATATATATATATATATATATATATATATCACATCCCATCAAATCATATAGGTTACATTTAGAAAGGAGTGTGAATAATAAAAATTACTTAAAGTACCCTTTCTTTATTCCATGATTATACAATAAGTAATGACATTTTTGTCATTGGGAATGGTATTGATGATATTTTTACTCAAAGGCAAAGAACATGTTTGTCGTCTTGAGAAACACATTTTTGAAATATTTACTAAAAAACAAGGGCATTTATAACAATTATAGAGTTTCATTCTATAACTACCCTTATCTTTTAGTGAAAATATCAACAATATCTTTTTAAATGACAAAAGTGCCCTTACTCATTTTAAGCCTCCTTAGAATAAAGAAATGGATAACTAAGGTAATTTTAGACTGCAATCTTAAACAATCAAAGGGCCACCTCCAAACTTTGTAATGAGGTGCAATTTTAGGGCCAAAAATTCTTAGGATGTGTGGGAATCTCTATTTATCTCTAATTATAAAATTTTGAACTCCAAAAATGGTTCAAATCAAATACATCTATAAATGCATGAAAATCTTGAACATGGACGGTCCAGATAATGTGTTGTAAGATATAATATTTTTAGGTACTTGAAATCTCTTTTTTTTCTTCCTTATATATATATATATATCAATGTCAAGATGATCAATTAGATATTTTTCCAAGGTCAAAACAACCTTTTTTGAAGGATTTTAGAGGTGCACCTTAATTCTACATTATTAAGATGTCGAGCTTATATTTATATATAGGTAGGGGAGTGATTCCATGCAACAATTCTATAGTAATATAATGAAGCAAGCTTCAAAAACCATGTTAGGGCTTATTTGTTTGATCCCAGTTTTTAGATATACACTCTTTTTATTGTAATGAACTATCACAAAAAGGCAAAATTTGAAAACACACTTTCGAAAGTGTTTTCCTTGCCCAATTAACATAGGCCATCCATTTTAGTGAAATGTTTAGATCTAGGTCTTAGAAGGATTTTTTTTTGTTTCCAAATTTTTAGTTAGCTTTATTATCATTATATTAATAATTTTAAAAAAATAAAAATAATTTTGAATTCGTAAAGGCCTAGATCTTGAAATTCAGCAGATGGATAGTCTAGAATTATTGGGATTGATCATTGGGATGAAGAGAATGTGTATGCAAAATTTTGGGTCATATAAATGTCCCAGATATGGTTTTCTAGAAGTGTGGTTTCATTGTATTGCAATGACACGGTGACATGAAATCATACCCCAAACCTTCAACACCACACACATATACAATGTGTTGTAGCAACCTAAGTATTGGTACTCTATGGCAGACCTTGTTTTTCTCTTTTTTAATAATATGTATGTATAAGTATGTGCTTATGGTTCTTTTGCAGTGGCTCCACTCTTCAAAATAAGCAAATGTTTAACATTATATGTGAGCTTCCGGAGACAGTGGCAAGAACATTGGTTCCTAGGATGAGGATCGTTAAAGGAACAGGGAAGGCAATCAACTACTTGACCCCACCCCGTATTCTTCTTGCTTTAGTCACTGCATGGTTGCGTCGTGGCCGTTGGTTTGATGATGAGGTAAATACGAGATGCCATTTGAATCTAAAGCATACTGTGAATCACTCATTTGAAACAATTAATTTGGTTCATTAGTTGGCCATATGGTCTATCCTGCAAACCTCTAAAACTATGAAAAATCCAAATTTGACGTGTAAACCTGTTTGTGAACAAATTTCAGACGGTAAATGGTTCTATTCATCACCAATGGAAAAAAAAGATGTTTCATTCAATAGCTTATGAAAATGGGCCAATATAGCTTATACAGAATTAAAGTAGCAGAAGAATCCAATGGAGTATGGAAAAAACATCTCCCATTGGGCATCATTGTCCAAATATATAATGAATATTCCATTGCATGGTCATGGAGATATCAGTGATGGGACACTTCAACACAAATACACAACCACCCCTGTGGTGGTACCTATGTTGCCTAGAAACTAACAGGGAGTATCATGTCTAGTACATGTCGGAAGTATCTAGTACAATATAGTACAATAGACGTCAATATTGTGAATAGATTTATGTAAAGATGAAAAGTTGATATTTATAAGACTGAAATGTGGTAGGTACAATGGCTGACTACATGAACCTGGCACAAGATGTCTTGGCCATCCTTGGGTGCTTCTTATATACAATTTTAGTGTCCCTGGTGTGGAAGTGTTGACAAGTGATGAGGCCTCAAAAATGAGGGGTCTATGCAACATGAGGTAGGGGTGGAAGTATTAACAAGAGATGTGGCCTCAAAAATGAGGGGTCTATGTAACATGAGGGTTGCGGTGGCAATGGTCCGGGTGGCCTGGCCCAGCCCAGTCAGCCCGTCCCTAAACAGCTAGGGCCTGGGCCACAAAATGTGGCCCAATGGCTGGGCTAGGCATGGACCAGGGCCAGGGCCAGGGCCAAGGCCAAGACAGGGCCGACCCTTATTTCTTTATCTTTTGATCTTTTGTTTTTCGGTAATTTGATTTGGCCCAGCCCGACCCTGATAGAGCTAGGGCCTCTTCGCCTAGTCCGCGCCTGCCAAGCCTGGGCCAGCCCTCGAGGAAACAAGGCCAGGACTGGCCTGGCGTGTTGCCAGCCCTACATTATGGTACCATTCTGTAGTTATTACCGTTCATCATTTCACTTGAGTGCATGTTCATGTGTCTAGAAGTGCTGTCATTGTCAAGGTGTGGACACGTGATGTCTGGGTAACATATGCATACCAATCTTTCTCCATCACTCCCCACTGTCCATCATTTAATTGGATTTCTGGACCTTGATGACCAGATTAACTATATCTTTTCCATAGTCCAATGAGTTATAGTATATATTTCCCATGAAAAATTTACTCATCAACCCTTTGAATATAGACAAGTTACTAAATTGCCCATTAACATGAATGTGTCTCTGTTTGTCTTTGTGCTTGTGAGTGTGAGATATTATTGATTTTCTCGAGTTGGTTTTTTAGGGGAGAGCATTATATGCAGCAGAGGCAGATCGTATAAGAAATTGGGCAGAGAGTCGAGCTCCATTCTCGTTCACTGATGCGATGGAAATGTACACCGAGAACACGTGGGTCTCTGTCTTCTCTCTCTCTGTGGTTTGTGCTTTCATAATCCTCTCCAGTTCCACTGGTATCATTCCTGGCACCTAAGGCTACCACAGTAAGCTTCTCTGTTTATCAACTAAAAGGACATGGCAGAATTGTCGCCATGATGCAACAAAGGAAAACCATAGAATACAAGAGAGAGAATAGGTATCTCTCTATCTCTCAGCATTTTGTTTGCTGAAAGTTGAACAGAGTAGCCTGGCTTTCCACTAATCTGAACTTTAACAACCTGCATTTGTTGGCCCTGTGCATTTCAGCAGCAAAAGCTACTGTGTTTATGCTTCGACTTTGTATAGCTCATAAATCTAATGTAATTTATTCCCCTCTGATTTTTTTCCTTTGTTTTGGCAGTGATTGACTTCTGATGATTCTAAACGAACATAGGATAAATTACAAAAAGTTGGTCAACTGGTTTAAAACATATGAGAACTCTCTCTCTCTCTCTATATATATATGTGGATGTGTGAGGAAAATTTATATAATATTACAGCTTTACTTGTAGAAATAAGGTTGATTAACTCTGTTGATTTAATCTACACCGTCTATTTATTGGGACTGTGTAGATTTGAGACTATCTTAAATGATGTGTCACTTTTCAATAGTCTTAAGAAATATGTCAAATCTATATCATCCAATTAAATTTGACAGCATAGAACATTACAACCTTATTTTGAAAAAATTGTTAACTTATATAGACGACACATGCATACATAGATACACATATAGGATAAAGCTACAAATAGGTTGTATTTATAATGAATAGTAATTTAGGTTGACTAAGGATTGTCAGATCTTGATCGGATAATTGAAAATGTATGTTACAATTAAATTTTAATATTTTTTCTATAAATTGGTTTAAGCTAAAAATTTTAGGCATATATACTTGACATGATCGCCCACCATATATATATATTTAAAATGGCCAAATTACCCTCATATTTTTTAAGGGTATATTTATCATTTTAAATTTTAAAACATATTTGTTCAATATTTTTTTTTGTGTGCTATATCATGTAGTACACAAGCTAAAAATTTCATCTCGATTCAATGCGTAAAAACATTATTAAATTCAAATAGTAACATACATATTAAACCATCTAATCTGGGAAGTTAATTTAAATTACTATTCATTATAGTTGTAACCCATTGGTATCTTTTTCTGGACATAAAAAATATTTGTTCAATATTTTTAAATTTTATCATTTTAAATTTTAAAAAATATTTGTTCAATATTTTTTTTTGTGTGCTATATCATGTAGTACACAAGCTAAAAATTTCATCTCAATTCAATGCGTAAAAACATTATTAAATTCAAATAGTAACATACATATTAAACCATCTAATCTAGATCTGATAGTGGGAAGTTAATTTAAATTACTATTCATTATAGTTGTAACCCATTGGTATCTTTTTTTGGACATAAAAACACACACACGTATAGTATATATACATTTTCTTGACCACAATTCATGTCTCTATAAATTAGAAAAAAAACAAACAAACAAATAAACCTAAAAAACTACTTTTTGAAGGTAGTATGCCTATTAATGCCAACCATATGTTTTGGTGCAGACTAGATAAATGATTAGATGTGCTTAAAATCTTTTTTATTAAATTGTTTATGTAGTATTGTTTTAGTAATGATAGTATGAGACCCTCCCACACTCATGTGAGTAGGATCCTAAAATATCATCATTAATTTTTAATACGGATCTCTAGAAAAATTATCAATAAACCCATTCATTCAAGTCTCACACTCATGTAATAATTTTTCTAGAGATCTGTGTCAATATTTAATAGTGATCCGTTGGAGTCCTATTCACATAGGTGTGGAAGGGTTTCTTAGTATCATTACTCGGTGTTTCAGGATCATTCTTGAAAAATGGCCGTAAAACTAATAACCTCATACCAAATGGGAGGAATAGGCAAATGTGTGTGTATAGGCCCCCAGGCATACGGAACAACATAGACCCGTGGCATAAATTCAATCTCACAAGTTTCGCTAGCTGACATGCATGCATACTATTTCTTTTTTAATATTTCCTACAAATCCTCTTGCCATGAAACTTTGGAGAGAGGCGGGTATAAGCAATAAAAACAATATATAAAAAAAGAAGATTGAATAAGTACACGTATCGAAAAAGGAAGAGGGAGAAACCTTTTCTGCAAGGTTTGCTTAGTTGGTAAGATGAGTACTTTCTTCACGTGGGTGTAACTTTGTTAGCTAAAACGGCAAGCAAAACGGCCTAACCTGATTTTATTGTCAACATGGTTGCAATCTGATTTTTTGATCTTGTCCAATCAATAAGAGATGACTAGTCTCATTGATCGGGACTGATCAATCATTGGTATTGATTAATTTTTCATTAAACTAAAACCCTCTTCATTCTCCCGTGGTTGAGTTCGAGGTTATGTTGAGCCTTTAATCTCTTTTCTTCGAGGGCATCTAAATCTTAATACTGGAGTTTGATTCTCTCATATTCGGTTAGTCCTTGATGTATAACGACTCACAATGAAGGGATTTGAATTTCAAGAGGTAAAATTGCTTCATCCCTAAAGACCAGAGAATAAGAAGTGGAATCGGTAGCATTTCGTGTAGTAGTGCAATAGGCCCATAATGCTTCGGGAAGCCTCTCGTGCCAATTCTTCTTTGTTTTCGCCTCAGCCAAACCTTTCGCTCGAGGGTGGTACATAGTCGAGTACTTCCACTCAAAACCAAACTGGTTGACCAAGCGATCAATATGATGACTTCGAAATTGAGGGCCATTGTCCGAGATAATCCGGTCAGGCACCCCAAACTGGTATATAATGTGATGTCGTATGCAGTTAGCCACTGTTGTCGCAGGGACTTGCTTAAGGGGGACTGCTTCAGCCCACTTAGAAAAATATATGTTGCAACTAGAATAAAGATATGACTCATTGCCGAAGGAGGATCAATGGGTCCTACAATGTCCATACCACATTGTGAAAATGGTCATGATGCCACTGTAGGGTGTAAGGGTTCTGGAGGTTGGTGAACAAGGCTTGAATGTATTAGGCACACCTGCCACTTTGTGGCATAGTTTAAGGAATCAGAAATCATGGAAGGCCAATAGTATCCCAACCTGCGTATCCGTTCATAGAGCTTGGGACCTGATTGATGCAATCCATAGATTCCTGTGTACTTTTTTCAAGACCTTATTTGCTTCTTGCGTGTCCATACATCTAAGAAGAATACCGTCAAATGACTGTCTGAAGAGAGCCTCTCCTTTAAGGAGGGTATACTTGGTAGAGGTTGGACGCACGTTATTACGTTCATCACGATCTTTCAGAGCCTGCCATGTTTTAGGAAACCAGCGATGGGCTTTCTCCAATCTTCTACCTGCTCGACTTCCACGCATATTGGGTTGAAGAACTCCGGCTCCTGGTTTTGAACCTTAGCCCCTTGACTCCGTACCATATTGTTCAGTCTTGATTACTTCTTTAGCTGATAAGAGTGCTCCGAACGCATAAGGAGGGAACTCGGGAAAGATATTTCTCTCATCATCCGCGTTTACCTCAGTTCTTAATTCAATGTGCCTCCATTCTACCACCCAGACAAGCGTGGGTCCTGATGAGGATAATTGAATTGTAGCTCCAAGTTTCACAAGTGCGTCAGCCTGTGAGTTTAGCCTCCTGGGGATGTGACTCAATGATATGTCCTCAAACTAGGCCATATACGATTTTACAGTATCGTGATAAGGATTGAGTGTGTCTTTTCTTTCGTCATAGATCCCTTTGAGCTGTCGGATAACCAACTCAGAGTTGCCATAGATCTTGAGCTTCTCCAAATCTAGATCGAAAGCTATCTCTAACCCAATTATAAGGGCCTGATATTTTACCTTGTTATGAGGACCGACCTCAGTGAGAGTGAAACAAAGTGGCAATACTCCTGCTTTCGGGGTTAGGAATACCACTCTGATGCCTTCTCGATCAGATTGAAAGGCTCCGCCGAAGTACATTTCCCAGGCATGAGTATGCTCTGCACATAATTCTTCTTCATCAGGGAGGTCGCATGATAACAGAGATTCCGTCGGCATGGGGTGTGCTGCGAGAAAATTAGCTAGGGCTTGGCCTTTGATGGCCCTCTGTGGGACATATGTGATGTCAAATTCCATCAATAATAATGCTCACTTAGCAAGACGTCCTGACAGACATGGGTATGTTATGAGAAACTTTATAGGATCTGCTTTTGATATAAGTTTCACTTCATGACCAAGTAAGTAATGTCGGAGTTTTAGTACCACGAAGAGTAGGGCCAAGCACATCTTCTCTATAGGGGGGTAATTCTTCTTGGCCCATTGCATCCTGCGGCTGAGTTAGTATAATGTTGTTTCTTTTCCCTCGTCATTGTTTTGTGCCAACAATACCCCGAGTGACTCATCCAGAGCGGTCACATATAGGATGAGAGGTTTTCCCAACACTGGTGTAGAGAGCACTGGAGGGTTGAGTAAATATTGTTTGATGTCATCAAGAGCTGCCTGACATGCTTCATCCCAGATGAATGGGGTATCTTTCTTTAGCAGGTGACTAAAGGGTTTACAGTGACTGGAGAGCTTTGAGATGAACCTGTGGATGTATGCCAGCTGCCCTTGAAGAGAGTGTAGCCATCGCAGTGTAGTTGGTGACGGCATTTCTTGGATCGCCTTGATCTTGACTGGCTCAACTTTAAGCCCTCGATGTCTGATAATGAACCCCAAGAACTTTCCCGAACGCACTTCAAAAGCGCACTTCACCGGGTTCATTTTAAGTTGATGGAGGCGTAGTCGCTCGAATACCTTTTCAAGGTCTCTCATGTGAGCATCCTTCTCTTCAGTAGTTTTGGACTTGGGAAAACCTTCCAATCGATTATCTTGGTTTTTATCAATATGATTGTAAAACTGAATTAGGATTTCAAGCTCTAAAAATAATATATATTGTAACATATTATCTAGACTGTCCGTTTTACTATAAAAATAAAGGTTACGTATCTGTAAGATCTATATGTTTTTAGCTTCAAATTTTTATAGACAGTGTTACAAATTATCTAGCATGTCCGTTTTGCTCTAAAAACCACCTTTGGGGTATTTTTATGACCTCAAATTTTTCACACACACTCTCTTCATCTCAATAATCAATCTTCAAAAAAAAAAAGTTCAATTTGAATATTTGATATGGTCAAAATGAGTCCCTTCCAAAAATGAATCTAGACCATTCATTTTGTGAATTCAAGATCTTAGCTTTTATAAATTCAAAACCCTTTTTTTTATTTTTTAACATTGTTCATCTAATGATAATAAATCCATCCAAAAAAATTGGAAATAAAAAAATCCTTCTAAG